GTAAAAGCCAGTTCCCAGCATTGTAGCAAGTTACGAGAGCTACAAGATTCAGACCTGCTCTTTAATCTTGACAATATTTTTTTTTTTACAAGTTCTGCAAAAATATTACTGTCAGAGCTGGCTCCAGGTCCCAGCTCACAGAGGACCAACGCTAGCCGGTAGTAATGTACAAAAGTCTTTATTGAAGTACAGTTTCCATTTTCAAGCCACAGCGCCCAGCTCTACGTCTTAGAGGCTAGACCGGCGAAGCTCCATCTGAGTCTCCACCCCCTGTACACCAACTTAAGACTCTAACCTTACTCCACCTCTTCCGTCTCTCCTTTCTCCTCTGGGTCCTTCTGCCCCCCGGGGTCTCCTCCTTCCTGGACTCCTCTGACGCTGACCCCTTGACTCCTCCCCCTCCTTTCGGCGGGCTTTGGGACCTGGCTCCCTATCCGGGCTGCCAACTGCGCCGCCCTCCTGTACATTTGAACTTGGCGCGCGCGCCCAGCCTTCAACCTTCCTCTTGACCGTTTCCTCGCTCTCCGATGGAGGCGTGGCCAATCCTGACTCCTCTCCTCCCGCTGGCTCTGGTGGGGAAGCTGGTCCTGATTTCCAACTGCTGCTCTCTGAGTTCCCTCTGGCCCCTTCTTCCTGGGGTGTCCCCCTAGGCACCCCCCTTGCTCTGACCATGGGAGCCCCTTTCTGTGAATCTTCCGATTCGCTGGAAAGACTCAGAGACCTCGGACCGCTGTCATCGCTAACATTTCCTTCGGACTCCTCCCCCTCGCTCTCTATTTCCTCCCTTTCCTGTGCCTCTGCTCCTGAGCCCCTGACATACAGTACTAAAATTGAACCTCCAGAGTCAGGGGCAGTGTACCTCTCAGCTTGTAAACTTCCCAAAGCATCTGGCTAACCACTGTTGGGGACAGAATGTACTGGACTAGATTTAGCCTTTTGCGGGTGGCGCTGTGGGTTAAACCACAGAGCCTAGGACTTGCCGATCAGAAGGTCGGCGGTTCGAATCCCCGTGACGGGGTGAGCTCCTGTTAGAATCATAGAATCATAGAGTTGGAAGAGACCACAAGGGCCATCGAGTCCAACCCCCTGCCAAGCAGGAAACACCATCAGAGCACTCCTGACATATGGTTGTCAAGCCTCTGCTTAAAGACCTCCAAAGAAGGAGACGCCACCACACTCCTTGGCAGCAAATTCCACTGTCGAACAGCTCTTACTGTCAGGAAGTTCTTTAGGTGGAATCTTTAGGTGGAATCTTCTTTCTTGTAGTTTGGATCCATTGCTCTATGTCCGCTTCTCTGGAGCAACAGAAAACAACCTTTCTCCCTCCTCTATGTGACATCCTTTTATATATTTGAACATGGCTATCATATCACCCCTTAACCTCCTCTTCTCCAGGCTAAACATGCCCAGCTCCCTTAGCCGTTCCTCATAAGGCATCGTTTCCAGGCCTTTGACCATTTTGGTTGCCCTCCTCTGGACATGTTCCAGTTTGTCAGTGTCCTTCTTGAATTGTGGTGCCCAGAACTGGACACAGTACTCCAGGTGAGGTCTGACCAGAGCAGAATACAGTGGCACTATTACTTCCCTTGATCTAGATGCTATACTCCTATTGATGCAGCCCAGAATTGCATTGGCTTTTTAGGCTTGCCGCATCACACTGTTGGCTCATAGTTCAAGTTTGTGGGTCAAACCAAGACTCCTAAGATCCTTTTCACATGAACTGCTCTCAAGCCAGGTGTCCCCATCTTGTATTTGTGCCTCTCATTTTTTTTGCCCAAGTGCAATAACTTACATTTCTCCCTCGTTAAAAGTTCATCTTGTATGGTTTGGCCCCAGTTCTCTAATCTGTCAAGGTCGTTTTTGAAGTGTGATCCTGTCCTCTGGGGTGTTAGCCACCCCCACCCCCAGTTTGGTGCCATCTGCAAATTTGGTCAGGATGCCCTTGAGTCCATCATCCAAGTCGTTGATAAAGATGTTGAATAAGACCGGGCCCAAGACAGAACCCTGTGGCACCCCACTAGTCACTCTTCTCCAGGATAAAGAGGAACCATTGATGAGCACCCTTTGGGTTCGGTCAGTCAGCCAGTTACAAATCCACTGAGTGGTAGCATAGTCAAGACCACATTTTACCAGCTTCTTTACAAGAATACCATGGGGCACCTTGTCGAATGCCTTGCTGAAATCAAGGTAGGCTACATCCACTGCGTTCCCTTCATCTACCAGGCTTGTAATTCTGTCAAAAAATGAGATCAGGTTAGTCTGACATGCTCCTGCCAACCTAGTAGTTTGAAAGCACGTCAAAGTGCAAGTAGATTAAATAGGTACTGCCTCCAGTGGGAAGGTAAACGGCGTTTCTGTGTGCTGCTCTGGTTCGCCAGAAGCAGCTTAGTCATGCTGGCCACATGACCCAAAAGCTGTATGCCAGCTCCCTCGGCCAATAAAGCGAGATGAGCGCCACAACCCCAGAGTCGGTCACGACTGGACCTAATGGTCAGGAGTCCCTTTACCTTTAGCATAGTAGGGCTCTTCTCATATTCTTGTTGCTACATCCCCACTGATTGCAGCAATCCTTGAGAAATCAGCTAATTGAGGAAGTTTATCCATTAGCCATTACAGCAGCCCTGCTCACCCTCAATTCTCCTTTTCCCCTGGGCTCATTCTAAGAAACTGACAGTCAATATCCAAGAGCCTTGTCTAATCAAATATGTCTGCAGCAATTGACTGCAAAGTGCATCCCATGCGAGCTTATCATTATTCATAATTTTTATGTGTGCTTATGTATGATACTAGATGCCTAGCATCTACACAACCAGCCACTGCTGGCATTTAGCCTCCAAATTTTTCAATTTTCTTTGCCTAAAATGTGCCAGTCTCATAGTGCAATTCTAGTCCACTGTTAAAATTTGAGGTCCTTCAAATGTTGCTGAACTACAAGTCCCTTCATCTCCAATCACTTGCCACGCTGGCTATGAATAATGGGAGGTGGAGTCTAATGACATCAGGAGGACAACAGGTTCCCCAACACAGCTCTCAATCTCTCTGAATTGTCCAATCTGTGCCTACCAACCTGGTTTGTCAAGACTAATATTGATCCATGGCAGTTTTAGAGTTGCTAGTAGAGCTTAACTTGTGTGAAACTCTACACTCCATGCAAATCAACTAATTAAGTATTTTAGTGCCCCCATGAACAGGGTGTCTGGTGGATTCCCCCATTCCCTGCAGAGATCTGTCTTGCTTTCAGAAAAATGGCTGGGTACCAGACTGTGCCAGTAGAGCTTCCTGCAGGCTATAGCATTAGCATCTACATAATTCATGGACTGCAGCCGTTTGATCTCAGCTTTGAAGAGGCTCCAAACAAATCTTACTAATGTAGCAGCTGACCTGCCAGGGAACAATTGGTGCAAAATGCAGAATGGGCTTTAATTGGCTGAGCGTTGGGCTTGCCAGAATCACTTCTTCTACTACTAAAGGGTCAAACTGCCCTCCAGTGGAAATAATATGCCAACACAGGCATCATGAAGCTTGGCTCCAGAAAGGACTGCAAATTTGCTGATTAAAAAATGTACAGTACTACTAAAAAGGAATGAATCTGTTATGTTATGATCTAGGTTCCAGTGTTTCAATCTGAAAATACTCACTTACCCTTCTCATCATCATTAATAGGATGTTTATGTTCATTTATTTAAAATACTTATATGCTGCCCTTCTTCAAAAATAATTTGAAGGCAATGTTCAATATAAAATAAAAGTACAGGCAACAACCAATTAATGAGAGTCCAAACAAAGTGTCACTGCGCATACATGCACAGCACCAAACCCAGAAGTGACCCGAAAACATCACTAAGCACGTCATTAAAGGGGTGGAAGAAAGCCTTAACCAGGAAGAATGGTGTTGAAGCACCAGCATCTAGGGTGACACTGGCAGGAAACCTGAAGGATTAGACCAAATATCATTCTACTTCAGCATCCCAATTTACAGCAGCCAACCAAATGCTTCCAGGAAGCCCCATGCAAAACAAAAACATCTCTAAGTTTGCCTTTCTTTGTGCCTTCCAGTATCATTGTGCTGTTCTTCAGAGAAAACAGTGGCACAGAGGGGTATTCTTGGAATTGCATTATTTGTACATCCTGGTAGTTCAATATATTGGCTTTTTAAAAATTACAACACAGATAGGTTTATTTTTTTATTTACTGAAACAAATTATCCAAAATACAAGAACAGGTTCAAAACAAAAAATAACCCTATTCCCGATCCCTTCTCCTTTCATTACCCTAAGGTGCAAAAGGAATGAAACACACACACACAAAACCTCCAAAGGAGGCAAGACGCGCACTCCTCCAAAGGAAAAGGAGGATTCAAAATGTGACAACAGAAAACCTGCATACAGTATTCCCCAGTCTTTCCATTTTTAAGGGAGACACAAGTCATGACAATGGCACAGTCACATGGATTTAGAGGGACTGCCTGCTACATCCTGAGAAACTAGAGGGCAGGGATTGTTTCCTAACTGAACACACAGCACACAAGACACTCAAATCCACTGGCAGCTGTAGCTTCCTCTTTGCAATAAAAAACAATTAACAGCCTAGAAATTGGAGAATTTAGTCAGCCAGTTAGCCTCTGTGCCTTTTAGAATGGTTGGGCATTTTACAAAAAACTTCAAAAAGCAAGCTTTCTAGGCATGGGAATGTCAAACCATGGTGCTGCTCCTGCTCAAAAATTGGAAACAGAGAAGCAATGCATATGTGGGCTTGACTAGGAATACCAGGTTACAAATACAGTCCCCAGGAGGCTTCTTTTATGAGTCATTGGGAAGACCAAAGAGCTTCACGGTTCCAGCTTCTCTGCTGCTATCATATTTGCCATCTTTGTCATCGCAGGCGAAGGCCAACAGGGGCCGCTTTGGATGCCAAGCCACAGTGAACGTTGAAGACTCACACTGCACTTCCCACAGCTTCTCACCTGAAGTATAAAGACAGAATTAACCCAGGAACCAAGACAAATGCAGCTGGAACACTCTTGTTCTTGGCTCGCCTCTGTAGAAGAATGCAGTTTAATGAGTTCCATTGAAGAATTTCACACTGCAATCTTTTTACATAAAATTACAAGTGCAATTCAAAGCCAAAAGCTCTCAACCAGCAAGAACAGAGGAGGGGTTTGTAAAATACTGGTGGTTCATAAAATTACAGGGACTGTTGCTTTGAGAACAAGAGGAGCTTAGGCTAAGCATGGGGCACTTTCTTCATAGGCACATGACATCATGGGCCCTCTTCCAAGGGACGTATGCTAGCAGTGGCCGCGATAAAAAACAAAAACGGGCATGGCTAAGAGTTAGCAAAAATGAAGCACTCGTGTTTCCACACTCACTCTTCTCCCAGTACCCTAGCAATTCTTTTTTCCAGCCTAAGTGATTACGACTTCTTTCGAGCCAAATTACAGAACAGGGTTAATTTTGGATGGGGGTGGGCGTCACAGCATACGGGAAGGAAAGGCTTATCCCTTCAACCCTCCCCCCACAAATGCCCCTGTGCAGCTAGTAAACTTGAAAGAAGATTTTTGGAGCCTATAAGAGACAATTTGCAATCCTAATTGCTGCAGGGACTGGATGTCGGGAGGTGAGAACAAATGGGAAGACCCCGTGGGCTGTCAGGTTCCCCACCTCTGGCTGGGACAATATCCTCCCACTCCTGCATGTTCTGCCTGGATTCCCCCACACCAGATATGCATAGCTTTGCCAAGTTTTTAGGTCTAGGAATGGACCAAAAGAAATTTAGGGAACCTCCAGTAGACGACAGGAAAAGTATAACACACATTGATAGTGAAAGCTTATTCAAAACCAACATGATCTTCATCTGAGCTCATTCCCTAGTACGTGTTTTTAGAATTGCTTTGCCTTTCTTGGCAGACAGTGAGAAGAAGAGCACTGACCTGTTTCTACCTCAGCAATGTCAATGAAGTGATCTTCAGAGGCTGAAGCCAGCATCTTCCCATCATGGCTGAAACTCAGTGTCCTCACAGGCCAGTCGAGCCTGAAATATAGGAGCAAATGGAATAAGGAGCGAGAAGACAGATACAGTGGTGCCTCGCAAGACGAAAAGAATCCGTTCCACGAGTCTCTTCGTCTTGCGGTTTTTTCGTCTTGCGAAGCAAGCCCATTAGCGGTTTAGCGGATTAGCGCTATTAGCGGATTAGCGGATCAGCTGATAAGCGGCTTAGCTGATCAGCTGATAAGCGGCTTAGCGATCAGCTGATAAGCGGCTTAGCGATCAGCTGTTAAGCAGCCTAGCGGATCAGCTGATAAGCAGCTTAGCGGATCAGCTGATAAGCGGCTTAGCGATCAGCTGTTAAGCAGTTTAGCGGATCAGCTGATAAGCGGCTTAGCGGCTTGGGAAAAGGGGGGGAGGGAAAAAACCCTGCAGGAACTCGCAAGACATTTCGTCTTGCGAAGCAAGCCCATAGGAAATTCGTTTTGCGAAGCAACTCCAAAACGGAAAACCCTTTCGTCTATTGGGTTTTCCGTCTTGCGAGGCATTCGTCTTGCGGGGCACCACTGTACCAGTCAGATGCCTCTTGGAAGCATGAAAATAGCACCCAAAGCCAAGAACTCTCCCCTCTTTATTTCTTCCTAGCAACAGGGAGAAAAAATACTGCCACTGGGTATGGCAATTCTATTTAGTCACCATCATGCTGTTGATAAAGCAATCCTCCATTAATTTGTCTAATCCCCTTTTAAATGCTAAGCCAGATGCCATAATATCTTGCAATAACAAATGTTGTACATTAATTACTACACTAACACACATACATACATATATACATATACATAGCTACACATTGTATTTTCTCTGACTTTTCTGCCAACAGATTGTGTTAGCCAGAGTTAAAGTATAGGAAAGGCATAAAATTTTCTCCTCTTTTCTCAGGCAACACCACTTATTTTAAGTTACATATAAAATAATAAATATTATTGCTCTTGAACATGTCCTCCTTGCTCTTTTTTGTTCACCATATTCCATATGTGGCTGCACATCTAGCAGTTTATGATATGAGCCATTTAATAATTCAACTGCTTTCCTAATAATCCTCCAAGCTTGCTTTCCCCACTGTCCACTCGGGTTGGATAGAAAATCACGATTTTTAAATGGGTGGGAAATTGATTGAAGCCAAGGGATTGTCTGATCACCTTCAGAACCAAAGAGGAAAGAGACAAGATACTGAACCTTCATTATCAAAAAGCTTTGGTAATTGGAAACATTCAAGTCCAAATCTTTAAGGACATCCCTAAATACATCTTGGAAGTGAGGGCCTTCTATAGAGACTTGGCCAATTTGTTGAGGAAGAACTTTATACCTTTCAGGTGGGAATTTCCACAGGGGTTGTCCTTTAACTACAAAGGGAAGAAAAGAAGAATAAGAACAGTACAGGAAAAAGAAAACTTATTGGAAAGAAACCTAGAGGACCTACAGAAAGGTACGGTGGGCCTGGCAAGAGGAGGACAAGAATCAACACCAGAAGGAGGAGGGCTAACAGACATTGCAAATCTATCATTTGGATTACCACAACCGCCAACTGAAGAGGAAGAAAAGCTTGGAGCAGTCGGAGGGTCAAACATCTAATAAACAAAATGTCCCTGCAACTCCTTAGTTGGAACTGCAACGGTCTGAACCAGAAAAAAACGACAAGTTTTTCACATTTTGAAAAGGGAACAACTGGATCTGATATGTCTACAGGAAACCCATATAACCAGAGCACACAGGAAACTGTTGGTGAACAAAAGATTAGGACAAGAATTTATATCTTCTGACAAAGTAAAAAAGAGAGGAGTAGTGATTTATGCAAAAGAAAAATTGGACCCAAAAATGAAATTCAAGGATGAAGAAGGAAGATATTTGGCAATCGAAGTACAGATTCAGGGAGAAAAATATTTGATAATTGGAATATATGCACCTAATGATGGGAAGGCTGAATTTTTCAAGAAGTTGCATGAAACCTTATTGGACTACCTCGACTGCAAAATAATACTGATGGGGGACATGAACGGAGTGGTCTCCACAAATATGGATAAGGCACAAAGACAGACAATTTCTAAAGAAGGAAGACTACCAAAGACTTCTTTGAGATGACGGAAAACATGGACTTGATTGACATCTGGAGAACAAGGAACCCTCTCGAGAGAGAGGGAACCTTTTTCTCGGAATCTAAAATGACATGGACAAGAATCGACCAAATCTGGGTATCTAGTGTGATGGCAACAAAGATAAAGAAAGTAGAAATCTGCCCAAAAACCTGCTCCGACCATAATGCAGTAAAGATGAATGAAAATGACAACAACTGGATCCTTCAGATGGAGAATGAATGACTCCCTATTTAGAGACGAACAATTTTGTAAAAAGCCCTAAAGACATTGAAAGATTACTTTGAGATAAACTTGAGAACAGAAGTTGAAAAAAAGAACAATCTGGGACGCGAGCAAAGCCGTGATGCGAGGCTTTCCTGATACAACAGAATTCAATTAAGAGGAAAAAGCAAAATGAAAGGAAAGAAAGAATATTAGAAAAAATGAAGGAAGGAGAAAAGAAATTGAGGTCTAATCCAAAGTCTCAAGAAATTTTGAGAGAAATAAAGTATTACCAGACGCAATACATGGAACTGACAAATCAAGAGATAGAGTGGAAAATTAAACAAATGAGACAAAGGACTTTCGAGTCAGCAGACAAATGTGGGAAGCTTCTGGCATGGCAATTGAAAAAGAGGCAAAAATTGAATACAGTCACCTGTTTGGAGATAGAGGGAAAGAATATTCACAAGCCAAATGAGATAAGTAATTGTTTTCAAAGCTTTTTTAGGAAATTATACACACAAGGGCCAGTGAACGAACAAGAAATAGATGAATTCCTTAAAAATCATGGACTACCTAAAATTTCAGAACAGAGCAAGTTGACTTTGAATGAGAAAATAACAGAGCAAGAAATAGAGGAGGCCATTCAAAAAGCGCAATTGGGAAAGTCTCCAGGACCAGATGGTTTGACGGCTAGATACTATAAAGCTTTGAAAGAATGTTTAGTGCAACCACTGAAAGAAGTCTGCAATGAAATATTGGAGGGGAAAAAGGCACCTGAAACGTGGAAAGAGGCTTTTATTTCACTTATACCAAAAACTGAGACTGAAAAGAATCAGGTTAAGAACTACCGCCCGATATCATTACTAAATGTGGATTACAAAATATTTGCAGACATTTTAGCAAAAAGACTGAAGAAAGTATTGATAGGTGAGATTCATAAGGACCAAGCTGGCTTTCTCCCGGGAAGACATATGTCTGATAATGTGAGGAACATAATAGACATTGTGGAACTGCTGGAAATGAACATTAATAGAAAAGCGGTTTTGATCTTTGTGGACGCGGAGAAAGCCTTTGACAATATTTGCTGGAGTTTTATGAAAAAGAATCTCCAAGGGATGGGGGTAGGCCAAGGTTTTGAAAATGGTATAGGTGCAATATACTCTGAGCAGAAGGCAAAGCTAATTGTGAATAATGTGGTAACGGAAGAGATAGCTATAGAGAAAGGAACACGACAGGGATGCCCTATCTCCCCTCTACTTTTCATACTGGTCCTGGAGGTTTTGTTAAATATGATTAGAAAGGACCAGTTGGTCAAAGGAATTCAGGTCGGAGTGAAAGAGTATAAACTGAGGGCATTTGCAGATGACCTAGTTTTGACTCTACAGCAGCCAAACACTAGTACAAAAAGAGTTTTAGAACTGATTGAGATATTTGGTCAAGTTGCAGGATTTAAACTGAATAAACAAAAAACTAAAGTGCTGGAGAAAAACCTAACAAATGAGGAAAAAGAGACATTTCAGAATGAAACAGGTTTGGAGATAGCAAAAAAAGTGAAGTACTTGGGGGTGAACTTGACAGCGAAAAATGTGAACTTATTTAAGGACAATTATGATAAATGTTGGACAGAAGTTAAGAAAGATTTAGACATATGGTCAAGGCTGAAACTTTCCTTGTTAGGCAGAATTGCTGTTATCAAAATGAATGTATTGCCTAGAATGTTATTCCTGTTTCAGACATTACAAATAATAGACAAGATGGACTGTTTCAAGAGGTGGCAGAAAGACATATCGAAATTTGTTTGGCAGGGCAAAAAGCCAAGAATAAAATTTAAGACATTAACAGACGCAAAAGATAGAGGAGGTTTTGCCCTGCCGGACTTAAGACTTTACTATGAATCAGCAGCGTTTTGCTGGTTGAAAGACTGGCTGCTCCTCGAGAATACAGACATTTTGGATCTTGAAGGGTTTGATAACAGATTTGGTTGGCATGCATATATATGGTATGACAAGGTAAAAGTGCACAAAGGTTTTAAGAACCATATGGTGAGGAAAGCTCTGTATAATGTCTGGATAAGGTATAAAGATTTGTTTGAAAGCAGAACCCCTAGGTGGCTGTCACCAATGGAGGCAAAAGAGGTGAAAAAATTGAATATGGGTTCTAATTGGCCTAAATATTTTGAAATGATAGAACAAGATGGTGAAAAAGTAAAATTGCAGAGTTTCGAGAAACTGAAGTTTAAGGTGAGAGATTGGCTACATTATCGACAGTTAAATGAAGTATTCAAACAGGACAGAAAGAAAGGCTTCCAAGTGGAGAAGTCCAAACTAGAAACAGAACTGTTAGAACCCAATACTAAAATCTTGTCAAGAATGTACAACTTGCTGTTGAAATGGAATACTCAAGATGAAATGGTGAAATCTAGTATGATTAAATGGGCACAGGATATAGGGCATGACATTGAGCTTGCTGACTGGGAGCAGTTATGGACCACTGGTGTTAAATTTACGGCATGTAATGCCTTAAGAGAAAACATTATGAAAATGATCTACAGGTGGTACATGACTCCGGCTAAGTTAGCAAAGATTTATCATTTGCCCAATAACAAGTGTTGGAAGTGTAATGAAACGGAGGGAACCTTCTATCACCTTTGGTGGACCTGCCCGAAGATCAAGGCCTTCTGGGAAATGATCTATAATGAAATTAAAAAAGT